TATATATATATATATATATATGTTTCTGCATTTATTTTTAAATGAGAGTTACTAAAACATCTCCACATGGGTCATTTTCCTCAGGTACCACCAGGAAGAGGCGGCAAAGAATGAAACCATCAAGTTGACAACACACAGGAAGTACTTCCTAGGGACTTTCTTGGGTGCTGATTGAGGATAAAGGCCAGGCGAGGGAGGCACAGTCCCTCCCTCTTGGTGCAGTGACAACAAGGAGGATACAAGGAAGAGCTGGGTATGGATAAGCCACATGCTAGGTGATAACTTACTTAATGAACATGTTTTAAGTAGTATTAGCAAGACACTGTGCTGGTCACAGCAGGTGACATGTTTCAAAGTCAATCACTGTGTTGAGACTCAGGGCCAAGCCCTGTATTTGCCAGTGGACAGAGACGAATAAAACCTACTTTTTTCACCCAGGGTACCTACCAGGTCATCTTTTCTGGGATCACAACTATCAGGCAGGCAAGACTGACACATGCCATAAGTGAGGACAAATATAGATTGAAAGGAAGAGGAATCAGGTGGAGGGATCACAGGCGGCTTCAGGAAGGAGGTGGCATGGATGCTAGTCTTGGAGTGGGCTGGGCCTGAATAGCCATGAACTAGGTCACGAGAACGTAAGCCCCAACAGGGCAGGGGCCTTGACTGTCTGCTTCCTTGATGTACACTCAGGGCCTGACACAGTAGGCAACTATTAACAACACAAGTCCCCAGCCTGAAGAAATAGAGCAAGCTGATTCACAGCCCATATTTTAAGGGTAGTCATTCTTCAACATATATTCACTCAGTCAAATAACCACTCAAGTCCAAGAACCCTGGAGGTGGTGTGCAGGTAGAAGTTTCGAGATGTCCCAGAGTGGCCTGGTGTGACGAGGTGTCACTAGCAGAGCCCACTGTGCCTCATGTGAATGAGGGCGGCAGGAAAACACCAAGACCCACTTACTTTAATACAAGTAATTACAGGTTTTAAGATTCATAAGCAGAATACTCACACATTAGAAGTAGTGGGGAGCGTCGCCTAAAGCTAACCAATGAACCTCACATGTTTTTGTGCCTGTAAGCGAGAACCTAGGGAAATCTGGAGCAATGCAGTATGTAACAGGATTCCTAGATGCTCACCAGGAATTCTGACATAGTCTCTCTGTGCACCAAGGATTGCAGCATTAGATAAAAGTGAGAGGCCTCTTGGCAGAGGTGAGCAGCGGTGAGCAGGGATGTGGGCTGAGCTCCCAGAAGCACGGTCACTAGACTCAGTGGGCCTCAGGAGACAAGAGGGAGGGACTACAGTCAATAGCGCTTCGTGGGACCCAGCTGGCTTTACAAGGATGATTCTCAGGGCATTGCAGCCTTGCTTGAGAAAGGATCTGGTGGCTGTAAAAATGTCTCAGAAAGAAAAAGCAATTCGAGAAGTCATTCCCTAGCATCTCTCTGTGGGCTCAGCTGTATAGGATTTGGTTTTTTGTACTTTGGTAAGTACTTGTAAAAGACTTCCTCCTCACCTGCAGGTCAGGCATTGTAAACATGGCCACGGCCTAAACATTCCACCCGCGACCCAGGAAGGAGGTAGATGCCCAAGGCAGAGCTCACCAGGGCTATGGAAGACTTGCTGTTCTGACGGGAACAGAAGTTCTCCTCCTGAGCTGATGTTTATTAAATCACTTGAGTGATTTGAGCATTGTTGTTAAAAACAAAATGGAGAGAGAAGGAATTTATTTGCTTTCATTCTTTGTTATTTCACTTTCCTGGCATATTTATGACTTAGAAAAATGCCAGCAGCAATTATAAACCAAGGGGATCTTGTTGATTTTTAAAATTTTACCTTGAAAAACAGTATCATTTCAGAAGCCTGAAAATGCAGAGGGAGAATTTCTGCATGTCTCTAAGGTTAGCAGGTAGTTTGTGTAATATGCTTCTGGTACATTGGTCACAATTCTGATTAGCAATGAAAAAATAACAAAGAATGAAAGCAAATAAATTCCTTCCCTCTCCATTTTGTTTTTAACAACAATGTTCAATTCTTCATGCCTGAGAACATGCTTCATATTTGACATACTCTGAAAAAAGTCTTTTCAATATAGCAATTCCTTTTGCCCAAATCAATGGATTATAATAAGCTCATTTATATGCTCTTTACTGAATTGTAGCATATGCATAAAGTATTTAAAAATTAAAAATTAAACATAATACAATCATTAATAGAATGAAATAGAGTGTCTGCTTTTTTTTATTAGTTATCTGAAGAATAGAGATTAACCACTGATTTTAAACTAAGCAACAATGGTTTCTAGTGTAATTAAGGCCTCCATGTTAGTGGGCATAATGTAAGTGTAAATCACAAAAGACAGTTTTAGAAGGTCCTGGGAAGATCTTAAATTACTAGTCTGTGTGCAGGCTTCCCTTCCCAGAAGAGCTCCCGATGGCTGTGATTTGCTGTGTCTGGGAAGTGTCCTGCCTAGGCATGAACACTGCCGGGGTGGTCCTCTTCCCCTCAGCCCCCAGCTTTCTGCTTAGGGTTAGACAGTGGACAGCTCGGGCCGATGACACTGATCATCCTCGGGTAGAGAGCCCCACGGCCAGAACTCTATACCATTTCATGGCAGAACTGTCCTAACTGGTAACTGCCTGTCAAGGCAGGAAGTTGACTGTGACCTTAGACTCCAGGCTTCACATGGCAGGTGCTGGGTCTGGTTTATTTGCAGCCATGCCCAGTGGCCAGTAGCAGAGTGTCTGGCACCTCCTTGGAACTTGGTAAGCTGAATATATGATGAATTGGTCAGGGAATAGATCATGAGCTACCAGCTATCCCCAGCCTAAACGACATCTTCAGCAGGCCACCACCAACAGTAATGCCCCGACATGTTGGATACCCCCCACTGGTTTTGAGATGAGCTACAGTAGCATCTAATTTTGGTCAAGTTCATGAGTCTACGAATTACTTACTTTCAATATGGTCATTCAAAGTAAATCAAGGCTATTTCTGAAATGGTCTGAGCTATGCGATGCTTTTTGCAGGGCAGAGCCAGGC